TTGATCAGCTTAAGACCTGTATTTATGAAATAACTGGTCTAAGTCATAAAAAAGTTTCAAATAATAAAGAAATATTATATATGAAGCATACAATACAAGCTATCTTAGATAGGTAATTTGAGGCTTTAGCTTCTTTAGCAAGAATTCAGATACATTTGGATAATACAGGGGTTATACTTCCAGATAATATAAAAGGACAATTTGATAGAGTTGGTACATGTTTAGCTAATATTATTACTTATACTAGTACAATTCATCAATTTTGGCAAGATCAAAATATAGTAATAAAACAAAGTGTTTGACGAGCAAGAACTCTAGGGTATCAATTGCAAGAAGTTTAAGTTAGATTACAAAATGATAACCAAATATTAACACAAGCTCTAAATAATGAAGCAAATGAATGTCAGGTATAATAGCTTAGGACTCAGAGAGCAAAAAGGTGTAACCATATATTATTACAAAAAAGGTAGCCCTTCGATTAATAAATCGAAGACACAAAGCTGAAGCTGACTTAGCAGAATTCAATAGAGCCTAGGTATTTAACCGATATCAAAAATAAAAAGCTCGAGAAATAAATTCGAGACAAATTATTTTGAATTTACAAATAAATCCTCCAGGAAATATGGCTACCCTATCAGATATTTTAAATTCAATGGCCCTACTAGTAGCTCAAATACCACAATATGTTGGTCAAGAGTTACCAGATGACTATTATAATAAGGTTATGTAGGCAATTAATTATGGTCATTCATTAGGAGTAGCAGCCTTTAATGATGATGTGAAAACTAATGTATTAGTAGGAAAAATGGCAGGAAGGTTTACTCCTCCTAATCCATTTAATAATAGTGCTAAAATTGTGGTTGCTACTCCAGCATTATTTATAACATGGCTTCGAGAAATATATTATGCAGTAAAATTAGGTTTAGCACAAGCTTCTATGAAAGTGCTTATGACTGATAAATTCCTTTCTATTAATACTCCAAAAACATATGAAAAACGAATTAAACCACATGTAGATGCTTTACCATTTGCAGATACTTTACCTATTCTTTATAGTTATTTACCTGAAAATTTGGAATTACGGATTAAAATCAGAAATTCAGTAGATTTAAATACCTTTTTTATCACACTTAATGATAAATGGTTAGAAGTTGGTGAACATGTTGGTATTTTCTCCTTCAGTGAAGAAACTCTATCTCATTCATCTATACAAAAAGATTTGCAAGCTGAACATGAATTTATAATTTATTTTGTAAAGGATTTGGATTATTTAGGTATAGCAATAGATATCTCAACCTTAGGATCACATATCTATGATAAACTTGGTAAAAGGTTAGAGCGAAAAGTATCTTATGTTAGAAAAAGCCCCTTCTTAGAATTAGAGGTTAGAAATACAAATACTACAAAGAAAGCTGTTAAAAAGATAGTATAAAAACCACCAGTTAAACGAATTATTTGTCTTTGCTTAATCTGTAGAAAGGCTGATCATACAAAGATTAATTGCCCTGGAGTTAAGAGGACCAAAAAAGTTAATTATGTATACCAAAATGCTGAGAAAGACCCAGTCCTATGAGAACATACTGAAGATTCTGAAGAGCCTGAAATAGAATACATACTTGAGGAGGAGGAAAATCTCGAAGAACCTAAAATAAAATACATAGTTGAGGAGAAAATTGAGGAGAGTGATGAATATGTTGATGATAATGGAACTACTTTAAACACCACAACTGCTATACTGTAAAAAAAAAGTGGTGTGAAGTAGAGTACCTATGAAAAAGATCCACAAGAAGGAATCCCCTACTTCCAAGTTTCGTAAAAAAGCAAAACCCTCAGCACCTATAACCATGATTGAAGATTATGTTTTTCTAATAGTCTTAAAATCTATATTATCATCAGTTGTATAACATATTCCTAAAGAAA